TGGCTGTGATAGAGACAGACTTTCTTGCCCCGGCGGGCCCCCCGATGCCGAGCTTGGTGTAATACTGCACATGGAAACAAAGGACATCGAATTCGGAAATTTCTATGATCCCGACAACGAAACTATGAAGCTACTACATACTAAAGGCGTCAGACACAAGCTCAACTTTGGGTTCGATTGGCATTGGAGAAGTGAGACAACGCAGGATTGGCTTACTCGGCGCAAATGCCCGTTTCTCAAATGGAAAAAGCAGCTTCGAGATTTCCATAACGACTTCTCATGGCAGCTAATGGAAATGGTACCTATGCCATTCCCAGTTACCGGAGCTGCTTGCGCTCGGGAAGGAATCCGACAGCGTCTGCCTTTGGCAAAGCGTTTGCGAGTTAATGATCTTCTCGAGTTTGATCTCGACTTTCGGGCTGGTGTACTCCGCCGAATCATTCTCCACCTTCCTCATCTAGTTGCTAGGTTCTACACCAACGAGAAAACCAAGTAGCCCATAGGAGAGCTACTCGACGGAGGATGGAATTTCATGCTATAGCTCGTAGGGCAAGAAACTTGTCCTGACTTGTTTCGCAAGCAATATGCCGACGGCCGGAACAATCTTCTCCATAAGTGCGCACTCCTCTTTATCGACTATTTACGAATCTATACTAATCTATACAAAGGACAGCACCTTTCTGCCTTGTATACACCTATCGACGAAGGGAACATGAGGCGGGTCGGAAGCTTCGACTCGACGAGTACTCATCCTCTTTCCTTTCTTGGGCGCAACGATACCTCCAGCAAGATCCTCGTAACGTTATTGACGGCGGTGTTTCTCTGACGGACCTTATGATTCAGAAGATAGCCGGGCGACTAAGGTCTGCCCAGCCAAAGGTTCAAGCAGCTAAGCGCGAGAAAAAGCGTCAGAGGCTCATCGAGCAGCCTGGCGAGCCCGTTACCCAGCAAGTGACCAAGCAAAACACCAAGCATCAGAAGCGCACTGAGCAACCTAGCGAGCCAACTCCGCCAACTCCAGAGCAGGTAGACGAACTGACTCCAGGGGAGCTGGACGAGCTCACTCTAGAGGAGCTAGAGGAGCCTTTTGCGCCAGAATCTATCTAGGGAAACCTGTGCATCTCGTGGCCAACGGCACCGTTAAGATCAGAAGATCAGCGTTGCAGCAGCCTCTACGATTTCGTCTCTCTACAGCAAAAGCGAAAGAGATCTTAGTGCTGAAGGAGATACCTTGCCTTGACTTGACGCTCGAAGCGGTACAGTTATGTGTCCAAAAGACTGTGGTGTACGAAAGATCGATTGAGCGACTTCTGATGTCGGAGCAACGTGAAGAGTGGATGCTTCAAGTCTTGTCCGAGCTCGAAACTCTTGGCGGATCGATCCCAGGCCCCAATGCGTTTGTCAGTAGCGAAAAGTGGATGAGGACGGAATTCCGTAACAAATTACTTGGTGGTAGCGACTTCCACTTCAAGGACCAGGTCAGCACAGTTCAGCTGATTGTAATAAGAATCCCTGAAGCTATTGGAGACACTATATTTCTCCAGGGCGAGCTGGTTCCGGCTAGATGCGAGCATCCTGACTGGTGTTGTACGAGTCATCAAGCCGATGATCCTGGGCGTCGACTTGGGATCAAATTGAGATACAGCACCAAGCAAGGTATGGTCGAGCAATGGTACAAGCTGGGCGGTAAGAAGAACGCAGCAAAACTCAATTCTTTGGTGGATGTGCTCGAAGGTCAAGAGTGCGAGTGGACGGCGCAGCAGCCACGGCGATGTCTCAAGGGATGGGGAGGCAAGAAAATTTGGTACTCGTCCTAGTATGATTGAAATCGAATCCGTCTCAGGAGTACTCAGGCTATACAGCGAAGCATCGTCTCGTGAGGCTACTTTCCCTTAACTTCATTTATTCCACCTAGTGATGTACGGGAGAAAGTTGCTTTGAGCTGCAGAATGGCGCCATGGGGATGACTAGGCGGCGAAGTCCTTAGTTAGAGCTTGAGGACGGAACTGTAGAAGTGGCTGAGACGAAAGTTCGTCAATAAGCATGAGTTAGGGCAGGAGATGCAAGATACAGGCAAATCATACGCAGGAGCGAGGCTACTTATATAGCAACGCCGAATGGCAGCTGGTAAATTGTATCTCCGAGAGCCAAAATACCTAGCGATTATTGATACGTTGGACCTCCACTTGAAATTTTTACCTATTCGTTGGACCGATGCGCCCCAAGAGCCCCTAAAACTATCCACCAACCCATATATAATACTATCAACTAACCCTGGAGCCTCCCTGTTACCGCTAAAAGCTACTCCCTGAACTATACCCAACATCCTACAACAGTACCTAATCTTTCTCTGGAGGCAGCTCCTATAATCTCCGACGGCACCTCTCAAAGTCTCAAGTATAACGATACTACCTTCTGCCTATTAATTCATTTTACGACTCGAGAGTACTGATAATACTCGTTCAGCTACCATGGGGAAAGCTAATACGTGATTTTCGAGACAGGAGGGGAGGGGTGGGGGTTCCTATTAAGTCTATTAATACGGCCTCGGGGGGGAAGAAACAAACGGGAAGGCTTTTGGTGTGCTGCAGGCAAATTTTCTCCGTCATAATTGCGTGGTAACAGTATTTCCGTGCTATAGGAGTAAGCCCTAGTACGCGCACGGTCCCACTATGCGCACACCTCCACCAAATATGCACCAGCAAGCCAAATTTCAAATCCTACTATAACCAATATATATATAGAGTTAAAATCTGTACTGGAGATAGATTGAATCAATATTAATCCGTGTGACTACTGCTATAACTACTAGAATTGTATCGGAAGCTTCCGTGGCCTCCCTAACCTCCCCTTCTTAATTTCTATCACCTCCTCTTTAGCAGTAGAATTTTTAATTATAACTATATCTTCCTGTATTAGTATAGCGGGAATCTTCTTCTTATACCCTTTAGCTTACTCTTTAAGGCCTATTTAGATCTATTATACAGCCTACTTAGTAAGCCTTGCCTCCTCTTTAGCAGCCTTCTTTTCCTTTAATACTTAAGCCTTCTAGAATTAAGCCTATTACCTCTTAACCTTCCTCTAGGCTACCTCTATAGCCTTAGCCTCCTTTTATATCTATCTTTCTTCTTTCTCTATTATTTTTTACTCTATAAGCTTAGCTTTCTTATCCTCTTTAACTACTATAAGCTCTCTAGCCTATTATATTTTAGTTAGGCTAAACTATAAGCTTTTTAAATTATCTCTAAATATATTAAATAGTAGCTTAGTACGTATTCTTTTCTTCTTTTTAATAAATACTACCCTCCTAAGACCTTAGTTTTCTACTTCGAGGATTAAATTCTTAGCTATAAGCTATTCTAGGGTATTTAAGAGCTTACGGACTTCTGGCCTAATTATATTACTAACTACTGATTTAATAAGGTAATATACCTTAATCTAATTATTATCTAAGAGGGTAGTTAAGCTTAGAGAGTGGCAGGGTCTCAGTAAGGATGAAATATGCAACGCGCAAAGATCACAATGAACGAGTTATTGGGGTTGAATGAGTTGTTGTTTTTCTTAGCTCCTGAGCAGGAGAAATACATGAGGCCGGGCGTAAGCGCTTACTAATCCAGCAACTAGCAACCAGCAACCAGCAACCATAATAGAGAGCTACTTAAATTATATATTATTAATCGTCTTTCTTAAAGTTTACTTAGAACTTACTCTAGATTAAAAGGAAGTAGGCCTGTCTTTAACTACCTATTTACTATATTCTTTAGACTGAATACTTATAAATAAGCAGGCCAAAATAAGCTAAAGAAGTGTCTCTTATTTAGCTTACAAAGCCCTTATATATTATATATCTATTAATTAAGTTATTATAAGTAGTAGTTTGTTAAGGGACTAAATAAGCTTATATCTAGTAGCTATAGCCGATGAGTTGAATATAGAGGATATACGGCTATAATGATCTTGTATTAATCGTACCAGTCTAAAAATAGTATATTTAGATAGCTTCTATACCTATTAACTAGAAGAAGCCTATAGTCTCTCCTATTCTATACCTTTCCCTTAGTATACCTATTAAAAACCTTAGTTAACTAAGAGATACCTAATAAGTTATTAGTCTAGCTAGTAGGAGAAGATATAAAATAGGCTTCCTAGTTATTAAAATCCTCTAGCTAGGAGTCTTATATATTATCTATTTTAGCTTAGTAGATAATAGATAGTAGGAGATAGGATCTATCTATAGAAATTATAGCTACGACTATAATCTATTCCCTGTTCCTATCCTGGCCAGTACCTCTTATTTTAGGACCTTTAGAGAATACCCTTTTAGTCTTCTAAAGGATACTAATTAAGAAGCCTTTCTTATCTATATTATATATATTTTCTAGGAGTATATTATATTAAGCTATTTTCGAAGCTATCTACTCTATATTAATATAAGAATATTACTATTTAGGATTAATTACCTTCTTAAAATAGAGGTTATATTTATAATAATTATCTGCTTTCTTCCTATTAAGATTAAAGCCTAGTTAGAATCCTAAGTCGAGTTCCTTCCTGTTCTGTTCTATATAGCGGGAAACCTAATTCTTTGCCGGCTTAGTTTTATAGATATCTTTAGTAAAATTATATACTATAGCGGGAGTAAGAGGAAAACCTCGGAGTATAAGCTTATTAATATACTTAGTAAGGGTTTTCTCTTACTGCGTTGTAAGTAATTAAGCTTTATTGGCTTTCTCGTCTATAGTACCTATAATACCTCTATAATACCGTGAGAGTATGGTCCTGTTAACACCGAATAATCTGGCAGTAGTAGTATAATTAGGTGACTTCTGGGATTCTAATACCTCCAGGGCGTCCTTAATTGGACTTATATTGATTAAGATATCGGGTGTTGAAATTTTTCGCGTTGTTGTTGGTGGGGTGTGCGGATAGTAGGACCGTGCGCGTACTGGGGCTTACTCCTATATTACAATATATATATAATTATGTAGATCACAGAGTATGACTGGGTGGCTTAGTTGGTTAGGTAAGGTCAAAAAGTCCGATGTCAATATTTGTAAGAATACTTCTAACATAGTTCTAAATTAGAGCGATAGTCTCATACGCAACGATATGGTATCTATAGATCGCGAGTTCGATCCTCGCCCCGGTCAATTCTTTTTTGGGTCCTTTCACTTTTTCTTCCCCTCCGCTCTCCCCCCTTTTTTCTTTGGAAAAAAATAATAATCTATTTATTATATACCTATTGCGACTCCTGGTCAATACCTTCCCTCCAACCACAAGTTGGAGCTGTAGGCGGGTGGGAGCAGGTTGCCGAGAGCGGTTACCTTTTCACCAACAAAAAATGAAACGGGCAAAGCGGAGTCCTTTAGACTCGGACTCCGGATACAGATCGGCCGCGAATCTATTCGAAGAATAAATAACATCTGCCTTAGGCCAAAGCTGCGTCACTATTCTATCTTAACAAGAATATGGAGTACTTGTTCGGCAATTGCTAGCTACAGTCGGTCCATTTTAACAACTCATTGATATCTGCAGAGGGGCACCTTCTCCTCCTGAGAACCAGGAATCGGAAACAAAATTGGGGGCCCTGTGTTCAGCCCTATGCACTGCCCACAAGATCTGATTACACTCGGAACTTGATTCGTGTTTCTTCACCCCAAAACCTTGCACCCTTTCGCGCTAACCTATCACACACCTATATCCTGCCTGTCAGCCGTGGCAGATGCTTTACCCCCTACTCTCCAACACCAGCAGCGGCATCGTAGGGGGAGTTGGAGTGGTTCACGATGCAGCGGTTCAGCAACATCACGGGCCAGGCTCGTCATGGCCTGGAGAAGATGACACCTGCCGGCCTCATGTCGAGGCCGAACCAGATGGACATGCCTATCGCCCAGCCTATTAAACGCCCCATGAATGGCCAACCTATATCTCCCCTCACGCCCGTTGACACCATGGTCAATCTGTCCTTCAATGTGCCATTCGCGTCGAATCTCACCGGTCCTGATGTCCAAGAAATCATACATGCGACTCCAAAAGCTCTCGAGAGATGGACGTTTCCGGAGGGTACGAAAGAGCAGACACCGATCCACAAGCTGCCAGTGCACAACGGCAATGTCGAGCAGCTACGAAGGCTCTGTCGAGTCCTGGAGGAAGGTAGCCAAGGGCGAATGCAAGCTACAGTGACCTCTTCAGAACCAAAGCAAGTACCCGCGTTGCAGCGACGACCGTTGAAGGGTCTCGTGACCAATGTCTGTATATCTGGAGATGCAGATGTCGTGCACAAGATGCGAGCCAAGATCTTGAATGAGACACCAATTGCACTGGTAATGCTCCGGCACTCTTGTCGCGAAGGAAGACACCATTGCTGACATGATACCAGAGATGTGCCATCGTTGACATTGATACCAACCTTGTCATTACCCCGGACATGACCGGAGTCAGAGTTCAAGTCCTCAACCATCTCGATGAAATATCCAAGTATTGTGGCACCGATATCTTCCTGCTCAACCCAAAACACAATGATCCAGAAGGGCCTGCCTCGGATTATGGCAATGGAAGCGATCAGCGCTTCGATCAACGGCTACGCATCGCAATCTACGGCGACCCTGAGAGCTCCGAGCATGCAAAGACAAGAGTCCTCGTCCTGATCGACAGAATAGTAAGCATCATGAGCCTCCCTTGGCAATGCGATTGTTAATTCTGGAGTAGCTGCACCGTCAGGCGGATGCCATGAAGCTCGAATCCTCTTTACATACTATTATCTGTGGAAGGACTCGCAAAAACATTCGCATGATCGAGTCGGCTACAAACACTGCTATCTACTTTCCTCCACCATTTCCCCGCATTTACGGTTACGTACCGCCTGGAGCCCACCGGAGAGGTGAAGACGAAGTTTTTATCACTGGGGATACTCAAGAGTGTATCAGTATGGCAAAGAAGAGACTCTATGACCTGGTTGTGAACACGAAATGCTACGTCAAGGATGTGGTGGTGTCGGCGCATAAGATTGATAGTATATTGCTAGATCGACTTGACAAAGTTCGCAAAGTCATGGAAACGAATGGATCTTACGTCTTGTTTCCACAGCTTGGGAGCTCGCGGGGCTTGATCAGGGTTCAAGGCACTGAGATCTTGCATGTGGAACGGACTGTGCGCGAAATCATGGCATTGGTAAAACGTCCACCAAGGTCTACTTTGAGACTGTATACTAATTTGACTTAGGCTGGTCAATTCTACGGCGCATCATGGTGGCTCATGCTGCCTGAGTCTGCCCAAACGAACGCCATGCGAGCGCCATCATCGGCCGATATACGTACCATGCTCTCAGATATCTGCCTGAATTCTGCCGCTGAGGTTGGTTTCGATAAGCTGACCTTCTCCATAAACGGGTCGGACGACGCTGTCAAGGCTGCTATGATGGTCATCCACCAGATACCATTCGTCAAGCGAGCTCAATACCAAATACGTGTCAAGATCGAGCTTGCAAATGAGCACAAGGAATTCGTCAGTGGAAAGAAGAACGGCAAAATCAACAAGATCATGGGGCAGAGTATGCGCAACCCTAACGCGCGATTTGGAGTAGTTGCTGACTCGGTGCAATAGGCAATGTTCAGATTATCTTCGACGGCTTCAACGAGTACAATTTCTATATTGACGTCTGTGGAGCACAGTATGATGCTACAAAGAACGGCCTAGATCTTGTCGAGCAGGAAATGCCGGCTTCGATATCCTTCCATGTTCCAGACCAGTACCACAAGCGGATCATTGGGATTGGCGGCCAGCACATCCAACGCATCATGAAAAAATACTCAGTCTTTGTCAAGTTTTCCAATGCCATGGACCGTGGCGGTATTGGCAAAGAGGATGATGACATCAAAGTCGACAATGTCATCTGCCGTACGCCAGCACGTAACGCTCAGAGCTTAGACTTGGTCAAGCAAGAGATCATGGATATGGTAGAGAAAGTGGTAGGTGAACCCGGAGATCTAGAAGAAGAGCCCCCAAGCTCTCCATCTGAGGCAGCATCAGTGGACTGACATGGCTGGTGCTTTGTGAAGGACGCGGAATTCGTCTCCGAGACCGTCGTCATCAACCGCTTGTACCATAGAGAACTCATTGCTCGAATGAATGAGATCGACGAACTTGAAAAGAAATGGAACTGCAAGATCGATTTTCCAAGCACCGAAATGGCAAGTGACGTAGTCACCATATCCGGCCCTGAGTATCAAGTGCCTCAGGCCGTTGATGAGTTCCTGGTTCGTACCGTCTACGTTCTTTTGTATCATGCCGTGCTGACCTTAGGCAGGGCATGGTACCGGAGAGCCATGAGATTGTCCTTCCTGCAACCTCTCAGCTTCGAGAATTCTTCAAGTCAAACGACTTCCAAACAGAAGTCCATCAAAAGTTCAAGAGCCAATATGAAGTCGACTTGCTCGTGCGCAATGAATCAAAACCCGCCGAAGAGTCGGAGACAAGCGAAGAAAGAATTCTACTTGCTTACACTCGCAACAACGCTGGCGGTTTGAAGGATGCCATCGATTTCCTAGTATCGTGTCTCATTCCGTACGGCTTAGATGCAACAACGGTCAAAGGCGCCATCCCAAGACCCAAGTCAGACTCCTTTGAGGACTCTCTACCCTTCTTTGATTCCAAATTGCTCCAAAACTCCCCGGCACCTCTTGGAACAGACTCTCCCACTCGATCAACATTCGGGGATGATGCCAGCGATCGTGGTTCTCTCTTCGGCAAGATCCGCAAACCAGGCAGCATCTCCTCCATCTCCTCTTTTCTCGACCGCCGCAAGAACCAATCATCCTCTCCAGGGACCGGCTCCCTCTTCAAGCACGCCTCCTCAAATGCCTCCCGTGCCTCCCTCGTCTCCATGGAATCTCGCGACAGCGGCTACCGCAACCCATGGAACGACAGTGGCGTCAATCTCCCCGAAGAGGACGGCCACAACGGCTGGCCTCTTCGCTTCGAAAACAAGTCCGAACACAAACTCCCTTTTGGCGTGGTACCCGGGTTATCGGCGTCGCCAGGTGATATGACGCCCCGACACGACCCTCGCGCATCGTTCGACAGCGGACGTCCTTCCACTTCTCATTCTACAAATGGATACCCGGCCCCAATTGGGCCACCTCGTTAAATCTCCTTGCCGAATACCCCGTTATCGACTGCCTTATTTCTACGAATTCAACAAAAATATCATGTGATTACTTTTATTGGCTTTCTCATCTGCTCGGATACGACTGGCTTTGATACGATCCGTCTGCAATTTCAAAAGAAATACCCCCTTGAAGCGATTGAGTAAGATAAGATTCCTGGCAAGGCGCTCTTTCCTTTAGTTGCGAAAAGATACCACAATACCAATTTGTTCTGTTTACTTACTGCGGGAGGGGTTTGGCTATGTGCGCGCGATACCACTTTCCTTCATCATCTAAAAGAAATGGATTTTTCGAATATGTGCTGCGTGCGAGCTAGATACCACAGATAGACGAGGGAGGACAATGAATTGCATTTATGATTTTTCTCGCATACTGATCTTTCTCGTTTGATCTATAGTCGTAAGCTGCTAGTGACACAAAGCGAACACCAGACCGAGCGATCTCCACACGCTAACATGACATAGAACTACGTACGTACGATTCTAGGCGGCCATATGTTTTAGGATTGTTCAAACGCATTTGTGGTTTGAAACATGGCTGGTTACCAAAGATGTGGTATATTTATAATGGGGCAAAAGAAACATGACACAGAAACTCGTACGGAACACAGCGCTACTATCTTCTACTTGAGCCTCCCTCTTTTGCCCACTCTCAACCAGAATTCAGCAATCAACGGACCCTAACCACCAGGCCTAGCTTTACTACCAAAAACTATGGGCCAACACCATTCCTCCCACCGATCTAGCAAATACCAAACAGCACACGTCACCTCTTACAACACCGTGGCACAGAATCCAGAAGCCAGTTCATGGCACTCCGGTCCCGGGAAATCTCCTCCAGCACCGCGAATCCCAAAAGATCACGCACCTACACGCATCTCACAAGCAATCTCTCCAATTCCCAAGGCCCCCCACCTCGCTATCGCCAAGCCCCCGAAATCGCCCACGTCCTCCGCGTAGCGAAATACCTCGACCCCGTCAGCCGAA